GAGGCTTGAGGAGTCCTCTATTGAGGATGTCGGGTCCATGGTAGATATCCCCCTCTTGTCCGAAGATTTCCTTCTTGAGAAACGGCAGCATGGGATATTTCTACATGTCGGGCGAGGAGCGGAGGACAAGTTAAGCAGTGAGAAGATTTGTTGGGGTCGTCTGGGACCTAAACATTGGTGCTCGGTAACTTATAGCAGCAGCTCAAGGTAGAGCAAGAAACCGATTTGGTACCCTGAAGTTGACGTCGCGACGGATGTCATTCCGGGCGGACGTATTTGAGATTACGATTATCGTTATTACCCGTTCTGTGTTCCTTGTTTAATTGTGTGTTTTGTGTTATTATTAAAGTTCCTTCTGTTCTTTTAAAAGAGTGTTAATCATTTACGTCGCGGTACGCGAGTGCCGTTTGTGTCGCGCGTGTTTGAGTATTATCGAAGTCGGCGCGCGGACGCAACAATATATTTGACCTTGTTCGCTTTGTTCCAGACTCTTTTCTCAGATGCTTGTCTTCGAGCATACTCGATAGCTCGATTTTCGCTTCATTAGATTCCACATTGATTGTATTTTCGACAAGTTGTTTTAGAGGTTCGATAATTGGTTTAAAGTGCCTCTCCAATGCGACGTCTTCCTCCATTTGACCAGCTTTTAAAGAACGATATTTTTTGCGGATCGATTCGCTCGTTTTTACAATCTCTCACGCAATCTTCTCACGATCATCGCTGTCAATTGTCGTCGTCATGTTGCGCTCGGACAAAAATTTTTAGACCTTGCTCGATCGATGTATCAATAGCGACTAACCACTTTACGGTATTGCAAAATCGTTAAATTACACGAAGTATACACCATCCGCGAGACAAAAATTGCTCTAAATCGTACATGACAAGCGGTATATCGTACCCGAAACCACCGACACGCTACCGTGGGGACATTACAAAATACCGTTGTAAATAAAAAGCATGTATATTGATTGTAAATAAAAATTATGTTTATTTATTGTACATTAAAATTATATGTATATTTATTGTAAATTATATGTATATTTTATAAAGTGTACAATATTGTTTATATTTATAATATATTATTTTTATCTATCTAAGAGTTGTGTGTAGCATCAAATCCCAGCCATTTCACATAAACATTGTCAACCTTTTTGCGTATCACTTTTTCCACGAGATGTACGTCGGGATTTGCAACGCGTTGTAACTCGTATTCGTAAAATCCGCCGGCGATGGGATTTCCGCGCGAATCTTTGAGTACATAGGTCACGGGATTAGTTTTCTGCACTTTAACGATCTTAAACACTTCGGTCGACCAATTTGGCTTGTAACCTTTCTTAAAGATGGTCTTGACTTTACTCACGCGTACCGGATCGCCTACTTTGAATCTTGCCGGTGCCGCAATCTTTACGTTGCTGTATACCGTATTTAAAAGTTTATCGGCGATCGCGGGGGTAACATCGATATGTCTCATACCGATAGTGCGATGTTTTCGCGCATTGTACTCTCCAACGAGCCGGGACAACGCGTCGATCCACTTGTAATTTCCATTAAGCGTAAACATTTTCCACATATTGTTCTTTAACGTTCGGTTGAATCGTTCCACGACTGAGGCTTTCATGATAGAGTACGTCGAATAATGATTAATGCTATGTTTCTTCACGAGTTTCTGTACATTTGCGTTGTAAAATTCTTTTCCTCTGTCGGTTTGAAAATTTTTCGGGCATCTTCCATCGTCTCGAATTATCTCTGCGATCGTATCCGACATCTCGTTTCCACTTTTACTCTTGAGCGCTACAGCCCACGCATACTTGCTCAACACATCGATAACTGTGAGTATGTAGTTGTAGCCTTTGTTGAATCGCGCATATGGACGCATCTCGACCACGTCCGCTTGCCACAGATCGTCGTATCCGCGTACTATGACACGTCTACGTGAGAAATTTTTTCTCGCTGGAGCATGCAATTCTTCCACTAGCAGCTGTTTTTCAGAGGTCTTTTGCGACACATTTGATCGAGACATAATTTGCAATAATGAGAATTCCTCCACGTATATTCTGTATATATCTTTCTTCTCCTGCACTGAATTAGATGTAGTCTGCGCGTGAGTTGCATACCGAAGCATTTTCTGCATCTCATCCACCATTATTTGCAGCGTTTGCACATTCGTCTCGGATGTGATTATTTTTTTCTCAGGTTCTTCCTGTCTGTCCTCCAAAAGCTTGACACGTATTTCCACGTACTGTTTGTTTGCGGCATCAATATCATCTTCCGGTTGCACTACGTGTCGTATCTTGCGCGACCTTGCGTCAAAGCCGGAGGCTGTCTGACACAGAGCGTTATCGCGCACGTAATTTCTTAGTAATCCATTCCATTGATAGTATGAGTTGTTCGGTGTTCCCAACGATAATCCAAATTTATTAATCGACATTTCGATACAAACAATAATGACAGACTGACTCGTTTCGCCGACGCATAGATCAATTTATAATAAGGCCAGCTTCGCAAAGTTCCTCGATAATTGATAATATTTCATTGTCATGGGCATTGTTGCCGGCTTGACGCGAAGCTTCCAGCAATCGCAAGCGATCTACCAACTCGTTGGGATCATTCCAATGCACGTAATCGATCTTATTATCGTTTAACGCCATAGCGCGCGGTATGTTTATACCCCTTCCAACTTTTTTTCCAGGCGCTATTATATTTTTAATAGAAATTATTGGCGCTATTATATATTTATACTTGTATCCCTTGTTACTTAACAATGGATTACGCATATCAATGCCACGTCTATGCGCATTTGTCGCCAGTAATATATTTTTGTATTTAATTTTATCATCGTCATTGTATACGTCACCGTCGGGTATTCTCTTGAAAATCAACTCGTAGAGACCTGGTGTTCCCACGTATCTTATTCCACCGATAATTAAATTGTCATCTTTATCCACATCAAAAATTTTATCACCAAGCATCATTCCTTCGTTGCAAAATTTAACACCGTAAACATAATCCATACTGATATTTTTATCTTGACTCAAAATAGCTCCCACATATTTTTGCCCTAGTGGACCCAGATGTGTGCGCAATGTATTTTGACCCTCGGATGTTTGTAATTGATATTGAACCGACGTCACAAGC